CTCATCTGGAAGTCACCATCTGGGAGAAGAGGGCCAGAGAACTGTGCAGCCACAAACTGACCACATTCCACCTTGCAGATACTGCTAGAGTCCTGATAATGCCATAGTCACCAAGACAGACTTCTGTCCTCTGGGCTTCCCTCCCTGCAAGTCCCAGTCCTTAACTCCATTACTAGAGGGAGTGAAGGACTTACTTTGCCATTAGTAAAAGGTCAAAACAAGAATGACTATTAAATGTATGGATGACAGTGAAATGGGGAAAGGCAGGATCACTGGAGTCAAGGAACTGGAATGAGCAATCGTTGCTGAATATTTTTAGAGCATTCTTAGGTTGCATGGAAAAACAATTAAATGGTATACTTGCTGTTTCTAACATTTAAGTTTGCTCTAATAGCCCTTTACATCATTATGATCAGTGCTGTGAGTGCATAAATATCTCTATCTCTTCAACATTTTCTTCTTGACAGGCTAGTTTTCTACCCACAGAGATATTGATGAGATACTCTTGTGCTTCAGATATGTGCGTTTTTCTGCATTTTCAAATAGGAACCACCATTATCTTTTTGCAAGCTGAATATTTTTTATACATCATTTACTAGTGACTAATGTGTGTTTCAGCCGTGGGCTCCAAGGACTGTCATTTGTCTTCCATAATGACCACAAGTTCTTAAACAACGCTGGCTGCAAAAGATGATCACCAAAGACTCTTAGTTACAACAAATGGAAACAGAGCAGAATGTATATTCACATTTTTCACTTTTGGAAACAAAAAAAAACACACCCCTTCTTTCTCTGGTGTGAAATGCAATATAAAGTAAAAGAAGGTTTTAAATAATGTAAAAATGTACAGTTTTTTAATTTATGTTTCTAAAGTCAGTTCATCATCTGGAAAAAGCCAGTAGCTTCAGTGAAAATCAAAAAAAGTCTACAGCAATAAACCTTTTAGTGTGCTGGCTGTCTGTGATTCTTACTGCCACTGAGTATTTTCTATATAAAGATTATAAGCAACAACATTTATACATATACTTAGGACAATGACACTGTGGTCATAGGATGCAAAATATTAACATTAAGCCAATGATTCCATATGAAAGCAAATCGCAGCAGTTTTCTGCAGCAAAATATGTATCCTTCTAAGTAGTCAGGTTAGCCATACAGCTTTTCAAAGCACTGCATTGCAGAAGCTTACCAAGGTTGTGTCAGAGCATGCAGTCATGTCTCCTGAATGGAAGTTAATGAGCAATGAAATCTTCTCTTGGGTTAAACATGAGGAAGAACGATGATATTACAGACAGAGCACACCCTTCAGGCCACACAAGCTGAATTTTGGGAACTCTTCTCAAGGTATGCCAGTCAGTATGCTCAAGAAATAAATTCTGAGCAGTTCCCTGGGAGGTAGGAAGCTACAAGGTCCCTACAAATACGCTTTATTTCCAACTGTTGTCTGAATCATTCCCAGTGACAATATGGGCTCATTTTTCACATGTTCCTAATGATTTCAAGTGCTCTATTTGGCCTTGATTTTCATGGGGAGGAAGCTCAGTGCTTGTTTGGATGTATTCTTACAAGTATTTCCTCTTCTACAGTTTTACTGGCAGCTCACCAAATTGTTTCCCTAGTGCCAAATAAGTTCCAGCTATGCAACAATTTTTCCACATGCTTTGAGATGCTATAAAATAGCCTTATCTCCATTCTGTGTCTTTGGTTTGAGTTATTTTTCAGTATCTTTTCTCCTATTAATAGAAAGCAATGGAGTGATAAATGTCTATTTTACGCAATACACATCACTATATATGTATATTGCTGCTTCCAACAATGCAGCCATCTTCTGCTGCATGTGGGCTCTATACAGCCTCTTCCTATAAACAGGCAATCCTACAGAAAGCATAAGGCCAGGGAATATTTCCTCAGCTGCATTGTCCAGGTGACAGAGAAGGCTGTCTGCAAGGAGACACCAGAGTCAAATCTAAACAGAAATCTCCTTACCTTCTTTGGAGACATTACCTTTACTAATGTTCACAGAAGTGCACCCCACTCAGGTGTGTGTATAATCATTGGTATCAGATGATTACATTAATGGTGACACTTTACTCATGTAACCTTGGACAATATGTAGTTTCTGATTTCAAGTATCTTAGTTTGCTGTCTCACCAATTTCTAGCTTATTTCTGATGTCCCTAAATACTTGCCCTATCCACCTTTCCATACCTGTCTGTACAAGCCTGGCCATACTAGTGAAGGGTGTCTGATAAAGACTTTTTTCCTACATACATGGACACCTTTCATTGCTTTTGTGTGCAGATGTCTACAGCAGTAGATTAAGATGAACATTTTCCAAGATGATGAGTAATCCAGAATGATTCGTTTATGGGTTATATACCTACAATATCTTTGAGAGCTCAAAGAGATTGGATTTTGGGGGACTGAGAATTTGGAGACTGAAGACCATGGAAATTCAAAGTCCCTGAGGTAAACTTTTCCCACCTTTAAAAGTTACTAATTGAAAAATGTAATTGTAATGAGGCATGTTTTCACATTACCACTTGTGAGCATGTTTGCCCAGGTTTGCTCCTCCAAAATACAGTCACTGATAAAGATGGATTGCTTTTGACAAGGAACATCAGTCATTTTCAGAAATCTGACGAGGCAATTGTGTGCTAAGACACTTTTGCATGAGCCCAACAAATGCTGAGCTCAGAGAACAGCCTTGCCTGCATGTGTGTTTTGTAGAATCAGTAATGTGTACCTTGAGAGTATTTAATGCATAGTATCAACACTATTTATGGCATCTGGAGTTTTACATGGCTAAAATAATTACTGTGATAAATGCCAGCAATATTTTAAAATTAACATTGATTTTTCCTTTGATTTAGAAGCAGAAGACACTAAATTGGCAAAGATGGGATTGCAGTAAATTATTTTGTTATTTAGGGTAAGATTTTGCATAGCTGATGGACAGAGGTGTCTGTATTTTCATGCTGAAGTCAGCTGGTTTTATTGATTTGTGAAGTGGTAGATTGGCCACAGGATCAGGTCTGGTGACTGTTTTCCCCATTCACCTCCAAAGTGATTTCAGCTTCATATTTTCGCCCTGGTGTAGGAGCCAACAAGTCTTCTGTGCCTCAGGGCATGACCTGACATGTCATGCTTAGCCAACAGGTAAGTCCAACTTCATCTATTCCTCCTTTACTGTGGTAACATCACACAAACAGTATCAGCAGAGAGGCTCAAGAAGGGTCTCCAGCTTTCTTCAAACCATTTCCAAAGCACATGAGTGTAGGCCTAACTCTTGTCAAAAAAGATTTGTACCACCTGGAGGTCACCAAAGGATTAGTACAAGTCATGGGCAGCTTGGAAGCTATCACCACCATCAATAGAAGAGCAAAGCTGAACAACGGTCTCCAAAGGAGCAGGTTCAGACTCTGCTATGGACTGCTCTGGTGTCCCAACAGGTCATTTGCAGCCCAAGGAACTCTCTGCTGCTGTTAGTTCGTCTTTTTCCACAAACAACTACAAGCATTTAAACTCAGGGAAAAAAATAATGGTTTCTTTCTTTTATGAAACACATGATCAGACCTGTATTTCATCCCTGCCTCTTCCTTCAGGATCACATAGCTGTAAACACTAGCTATTCCTTGCAATCAGTGAAGTATTACTAACATGTAAACCTCATTATAACGCTAATACTGAATTAGATACACGAAGAATTTGTCCTCCCTGTAAATCAGTGAATAAAAGGAGCCCATCTTTCATAGGCATGTCAAAGAGCCACAGTTCATGCCTGGAGGAAATTACAGGACAGCTTTTACAGCAATTCAGGCAAGGGACCCCCAGTATGCAGGTAAAATACAACACATCAATGTAACACTTCATCACAGCCTTGCTCAGTATTTTATTGCATGAATGGAGTGTGGGTAGCTATGGAAAGTTCTTCGGGTCCCACAGAGCCATCAAGAGACTGCAGATCTCCTGTGTGTTCCTACACAGGTTTCTTCAGCACATGGAGAAAGCAGGCTGCAAACAGCAGGAGAAGGAGATGGCACTTGTCATGTCCATCCTTTTAGACATTGAGTTATCCAGGTTATGGACCATGCTCTTCACTCAGTAATGTACTCTGCCTCTGAGCCCTGCACACAGCCCCTGATATTGTTAACAAAGAGCTGTCTATGCTGTTTCAAACTGAGCAAAAGTTTTAGGCATTAAATGGAATCAGCAGATACCTGATATAATCATATATTCACCTACAAGGTCTTCATTTAACCTGAACACAAACTGCAGGGCCTTTCCCTTTTCTCCTTAGGAATTACTCCTGTTTTGTATTCCAGAACACTTGTCACCCTGGTGAATATTAATTAAAAGTTGTAATTAATTAAAATGTCAATTAATTCCTTTCTTTTATTCTTCAGGGTAATCTCATATTCTATGCAAGAGAGAGAAGCAAGTGAGTTTACCAGAATGAAACAAAAAAATCTCAGTGTAAGTACTGCATGTGTGTGAAAGAACCGATTGCCTGGCCAGCATTTGGTCAAGGGAGAGAAAGGGTTAGGGAGCACATTCATGAAGGCAGACAGACCAGCACATTGTAACAGTTTGGGGTCCACCTATGGCCAATTTATGAATTCCAGCTGTGATTTTATGAGCACTCTGTGCATTTACGAGTTGTGACGGTCGTTTATTGTAGGCTCACAGCTTATGTTAAAGGGAGATGCGATTGCACCTCAGTGGCAATCTCTGAAATAGGAGGTTGTCAGGACCATAAACAACGAGCAGCTGTGCTTTAGCAGAACAACATCTGTTTATAGCTCAGCAAAACTAGTTTTCTAAACCTAGATTCAGGGTAGAAACCAAGCAGGAAATCACCAGTTTCGTCACAATGACCACAAAGAAGGAAGCGGCGTGGAAGATGAAACTAGAGGGTTTTTTCAGTGGAGTTAAAAGGTTTTTGCCCCAATGCAAATGTGAATGTAGGATGAAACTGAAGAGTCGGCAGAAGTGCAGTAGTTACTATGACAAGCATGTGCAAAGGAGTTCATGTTGGGATAGCAAGAGCCTTGGTCTGTGGCATAGATTTATCCCAGGTGTTGCTGAAACAAAAAGAAGACATGTTGGCTTATTGTCACATGGAAATGTAAAAGAAGTGAACTTTCTATCCAGAATGTCATCATAGCAGTAATTTTTTTTTTACTATAATATGGGAATTCTTATCAATCCCTTCCACAGACACTGAAACACTGCAGATAATCTTTAACTTGGTTTGGAAGGAGAACACTAATCACAGCACTAGCTGTGGGAGTTTAATCATATAAGGATGAAAATAGCCATATGTGTAAAATCAACATATTGGCATGTTTACCTGGAATTGTTGATCTTCTACTCTGTTATTGTTTAATTTCCTTACAGAGTTCCTCAGAAACCATAGTTATTGAGCTTTGCTTCCTCACCTTCCTCTCCAGAGGCAGTTCTTTCCACATAAAAGCAAACAATAAATTGCACAGCATCCTCACCAGACATTATTAAACACTGCTTTGTATACCCTTCCTGTCAGCTCACACAGGTTATTCTGTTGAGAGACCTGGGTTGCTTTTAAAAATGTACATTTGCATTTAATAATAACTGATTACAAAATACAGCGCAATATAAATACAGCCTTTCCTTCTCCTTTTTTTTTTTTGTGTGTGTGTGTGTGTGTGTGTGTGTGTTTCTCTGTAGTATTTTTCTAAACCAGTTGCATCATCACCACAGGCAGGATTTTTTTACCAAAGGAAGTCAGTAATCTGACTTCTATATTTGAACAAGTCACCTTGACTCTACAGGTACAGAACTACTTCCAAGGCACCACTGGTTCATGTCATCTCTTTTAGAAGGAGATGAACCATGGCCTTAAATATCTTCTTTCTGTTCACTGTACCAGCAGCCTTGCATGACCAGCTCCGAGGTATACAAGTCAGGCAGCAGGCATCTTTTTTTATTCTTTCTATTTTCTGTAAGTCTTTTTCAGACAGAACAAATCCAGGAAACCAGATTCACTTTTACTTCTAATTTCACATCTGTAATCTCAGCTCCATAATGGTGGGTTTCCTATAACACAGGTGGGTAAAAATACATAATTCTTTTTCTTTCTGCTAATCTTGGATTTTATTCCAAATTGCAGAGATAACAAATAATCTGAGATTTCTAAGGAGGTTTGCCAGATTGTACAAACTCTATGACATTTTGAAATTCAGACTGTCCAATGACATGGTTATAGGTAAGCACGCAGAAATCATGTGTTGGATTTGCCAATGTACAAATTCACTCAGGAGTTATATTCAGCTGACAGAGAAACACAGGGGCATCATAATCTAGTCTCAAAGATCACCAGCTGGAATTCAGCCTGTGAGTCTCTTAGCAAGACCAGCTCTGCATGTTTCCAGATCATAAAGAGAGAAGACACTGTTCGAGGTGGGGACTTCAGAGTAAAGTTTCAAAGTCTGAGTTGGGAGCTCTACTCAGACCAGCACTGATGCTCAGAAAGAGGCATGTGGAACCAGACTACTTTAGATGGTTCTTCTGAGTTTGAGTTTTAGTGGCTGAGCACTATAAAATACTGTCTCTAAAGCTCTGGCTGGGATGTCAAAGGACAACATGAGTTTGGATTTCATTAACTAACTCTGTGGATGGACTGCTGGATCCTTTCACATATACCAAAAGGCATTAATGTACATCTCACATAGGAAGGAGATGGTATTTGCAGGGTATACCACAATTTACACCCATCTGCCTGAAAGATAGATCATGCCCAGGTAGCTGGAGATTACTGGAGTGTAGCTCAGGCAGTGTGTTGCTTTTGCTGTCATCTCCAAACAGTCCCTGTTCCCACAGGTTTCTTCCCTGCTCTTTTGAGACAATGCCCACATAACAGTGGCAAGCAAAGCATGAGGTGACTGTCTTGACAAGCCTCTTTAAATAAGGTCCATTGACCTTCCTTATTCTGAAAGGACCTGGGCTACTTTGCTGCACAAACTTACAACACTATTTGTGCAAGCTTCTTCCTGAGATAGAAAAAAATGACTGTCTAACTGGGGAGGGCAGAGCAATGGGTTTGCACACAGTATACTGGATAACATCCCAACATCTGCTGTCACAGATTTGCTGACAGCTGTTTCTGCAGAGTAGCTGGAAAATCTGATAATCCTAAACATGAAATTTCTTGTTATCTGTGCAAAGGCAAGTGCCAGCCTCTAATATGACTCTAAAGGACAATCTTCAACTTTGAGTAAATGCTGCCAGCTACACCTGGGCATCTCTTCAGCATGTCCTCTGAGAACACACAGCTGGACCCAGCTGGACCAGGGCTACCTCCCACAAGGTGACACATGAAGAGGTACTTCTGGTTCCCAAGGGGCATTTTTCATACAACCATGATTCAATACTATTGGCAGATTCAGAGAAGGTCCACTTTGAACCCCTTTGCATGAGTGAAACCAGGAAGGACTCATGGCCAGTGTGAACTTCATAAAAGCTCTAAAGACTGTGGAAGAAGTACAAAAACTTTCCCTTCACTGTGTCCTGGTTAGCCTGAGTGGACAACAAGCCACAGCACTCCTGTACTCTCTGCTTAATAAACCAGTGTCCTCTCAGCCTGTAAAGGATAGTGGTGTTTAGCACAAATCTACAGCTGGGTTTATTTTGCAATGAAGACCCACTGGCGCAGGCAATGAGAGGATGCATGTGAGCAGGGATGGAAAACAGATACAGGGCTGTGAGGAGACCATTGACTTCTGCTGTCCCCGGTCTAACAGAAATACACTCTTGGAATTTACCAGGGCAGTTGTACTATCAAACACTGGTTTTCTAATAAGCCCGATCCTATGCTGAGACCTAGGTATAATATTTGGTGGCTATAACTTATTTTAACTTCAATGGTTAAGAATGAGAGCAGGCCAAAACTGTGAAACCTTTCCCTTAATTAATTTTTGAAACCTGCTTTTACCATAAATGACACACAAACATGGATAATAGCAAGAGTCAATCCTAATAACAATAGTGCGTTTTTGCAAATCACAATTATCTGCACGGCAGCCCACAATCAGAAACGTGTGAAATCCCGAGTACATGCGTTGCTTAAGAGGCCCGTTAAACACAATTCTCATTCTTGGTTTCACAGATTAGTGAGTAGCTGCTATGCCCAGATGCCATTTCACAGCCAGATAACACCAAGGGAGAAGCAGAAGTTCCTTCTGAGGTGGGTGGACTGGGCCTTGCCTGACAATTGGCATCATGTGTAATCCTTTAAAACACAAAAATCCTAAATACTCTCTGTGAAAAGCAGTATTAAAACCTAGCAGGCCCTGTTGAAGCGGGTCTGTCAGATGAGCAGACAAAGTGAATATTTCTGCTCTTGGTGCTTTGCTTGTTAAGGGCACAGTTCTGTGGTGCTTCCTGTTTCCACATTGCTTTAGATTTTTGATTTGCCACTGGTGAATTATGGGGATATTTCCCCAAATGCAACTTTAGCAAACAGGTTAATGCTTCAGTCACATCTGAGTTTGGTTTTAAAGACATGTTTTGTGTATTACAGATCCAATTTATGCTCCTTCATGACAACCTCTTGGATGGAGACTGCCAGTGCCTGACAACTGGTGGATTTGTGTCCTAAAACTTCTTAGGTCTTTCCAAAAAGCCAAATTTGACCCTGCCTGACTACATCGTCAATAAAAACTGCTGTCCTTACAAAATTAAACATAAATCCAACTGATACAAAAGAGACACCAAACCTTGTATTTGGTTGCTCCAATATAAAAAACAGGTGCCAGTTTCAGAAGCTGAAATGCTTATTTTAGAAGTCAAATACATGTGGCTGATGTATTAAAGCCTACATTTCACAGATAAAAAAAGCAAGTGAATTAAAACTTTGGTCATTTCAGGTGCCTGGGTGTCTCTGTTAGCTTTGCATATACAGACACACTCCTCACTCACTCCCTTTTCCAGCTCTACAGCCTTTGGGGGTTGTGAAATGTGGAATAAAGCAACTCACATAGGTGTCTACTTCAAAAAGCAGGGAACTGAAAAACAGAATGGAACTGCACTTCAGTAGATATATACAGAAATTATCACCACCCCCAACACACCTGAATATATCCCATTCATGTTCGTGCAGTGTCAACAGGCCAACTCACAAGCTCCATGTGGTTGCTACAAGAGAAGGTCCCAGCAAGTCTTTCCCACCAACAGCCTCTGGGTGCCCAAACCATAGCTCAGAAATGAGGTTTAGCCTCCCAGCTAAGACAAGCAGAAAGTCATTATATTGTTCTAAATTAAAAGAGAAATAACCTCAGTAAAAAGTATGGGGTGGGGAAATTGGAATCTTTGGAGTTTTGGCCGCCTGTGTAACTACAAGCCCAAATTTCAGAGCTCTGTGGTGATCTGCTAATTTTGCTGGGAAGCACATTGTGGTAGTAGTACTTCCATAAGCCACACAGGCAGTACAGGGATAACCAGGATGCCCTCTAGACAAATAACCATGTCCTTGTGCAGAGCTGGAAGGATTTTTCTCCTCATCCTAGGTCATTTCAGTCTTCTTGTCTTGAAAACAAGTCAAACAGCAACCAAGACAAAAACCCCACAACAAACCCAAGATTTATCCCTTGGCAGTGCCTCGGTAGGACGTTGTCAACACTCCTTACCACAGAAATGTCTTTGTAGCTCTCAGAAACAAATGTCATTTACATTCTTATGAAGTATTCCTGGTTTATGTATGATGTATTCAGACCAATCAATCTTCTATCTTGGGGGCCTGCTTGGAGACTTAGGGAGCTGGCATTGATTAAATGCCTATAATAGAGAGCATTAATTTACCCATCAGTGGAAAAATCACCATTGTAAATTGTCCCAGTCGGTTTGTATATCATCAAACGATATGAAGCATGTTCTGGATGTATGTACTGAACTGCACTCATACATAAAGCACATTCAGTTAACAGCACCACCTTGCTAACCAGCCATAGGCAAAAGGTTTGGTTTTGATTCTGCTGCCCTCTTTAGGATTTGTGCCTGGGACTCTCCAGTCTAATAAAAAATGAAGTACAAGACCACTTAGTGTCTGAAGTCCCATAGGGAGCCTACAGCATCCTATGGGACTGGGAAAAAATTGGCATATTCCTTTCTTTTGCTCATCATGCTACACTGCTTCTAAACTAGCTGATTTTTTTTTTTTTTTTTTTTTTGCCATAAAGGGGAGAAAAATATCCTGTGTTTGTGGAAGTTCTGGAGGGTCCTTCATCTGTTGAGTTCATGATCCCAGCTGAAATATCATATATTATTCACATAAAGAGCACATAAAAAAGATCACAGTGCCCTAAGGGGAGGCAGGAACTAGTTTCTCTTGAAAAGTGGAGCAACATTAGCTTTGCACTGCCCTAATAAAAAATATTCAGACACAGACCATAGGCAGATACCTCAAGATGAGCTAGCCAGCCCCTCACTGTGGCTGCAGAGGACATGAGGGCAAGAAAGGAATGAGTTGAGTGAGGAATAACTGGTTTGGACAGAAGGAAAAGCAAGCAGTCCTATGTAAGCAGTCTGGGTCAGAGAGGACAGAGATGTTAAAGAGCAGGTGTTGGGGGCAAGGTGGGGAGAATGGGTGAATCACACCTTTTTTCCTAACATCTCACTGAAAGGAGATTCTTCTTGTGAGCAAAATGGGCTGTTCCTGCCTCAGTATTTCCTTCACAAAAGCAATAACTAGAGATCATCAGTGCTTCTCTTTGCCGCCTGACAGCACACATGTGGTTTCTCCAAGTCTACCAGCTTAGCTCTATGTCCAGTTCCCACCCTCAGGCATGCAGGAGCTATGACAGCTTAAGGTTTGGGCATTGCAGAAGCAAAGCTACTTCACCCAGACCTCCCAAGGACTCACTTACTCACTCAAACCTCCTGGCACGAGAGTCAGGATATGATCTTTCTAACTGTCAGCCCTGCAAAATTAATCAAAGAGATGGAAATCCCCTCTGCCATTCATTACCACTGAAAAAGGTCCTGCCATCAGAACTGAGCTCCCAGTTTTGCTGCTGAGGCACAAGGCAGGGAGATGACCCAGTTCACTCTTGCAGAGCAGACATGAGTCTGCCATGCAATTGCTGCAAAAAGCTTGCACACATCAAACACCTCCACAGGCACACATCAGACACCTTCAACTTACCTGGGTCTGGTGGGACTGCCTGACTTATGCAGAAGACGTCATCCTTTCAGAGACTCGGATCAAGGTTTTGAAAAAGAGTTCATGAATTCAAGTGGGTCCCTTTCTGGGTGACTAGTTGAGCTATTTTCAAAGGCTCATATCTTCACAAAGAACTTAAGAGTATTTAGTAGCTTCTGGAAAACAAATCTTTTCAACAGCAGAGTAAACCTTTAGGTAGAAACACTACTAAGGTCCACCATGTAGATGCAGCTTGAGGCTGGAAGCTGTGAAACGTCATTAGTTGCTGGGAAGCAAAGTTGATGGTTTGGTCATAGTCCAGCACTGATGTGCACATAACAGCTTCCAGACTGGGGCTGGCCTAATCCCATCGGCTCTGAAATTTCAGCTGTCTGGATCCAGCTGGGGAGAAGCTGAATATCTGAAGCTTGTGGTGGGCAGTATCAGCTGTCAGGTTTCCGCAAACCCAGCCCAAAATTTAAGTAGTCTAAGTGCCCACTTCACACTAACTGCAGTCCTTGCACAAAGGGTTAATTTTATCTGCAGAACTCCATGCTATGCACAAGTAAATCCCACTGCATTTTTACCAGCATGATTTACAAGATGGATTTAGAAAACTCTGTTCTCAGAAGTCTGTTCACAGGGTTAATGGAGCAAGAATATACGATTACGGTCACCTCTCTATAGCATCCTCCTGACAGTTTCAGATCCAGATCTCTCCTGTGTTCGTTCAGGCTGTAGTCACACTTCCAGCTGTGGTGTGGAAATGTTTTTCCCTATAGGCTGAAGGGCTAAATGGGACAAAGATTTCTTCTTGAGCTTTCCATCAAAAGTCTGAGTCAGAAGCAGTAGCGGGAGGTCTGCATGAGTTTCCTCCATTCCTGTCACCCTTCTGAAATGGAACAAACAGAGCTCTTCTGTCTGTAAACTGCACAATGCTACCCAAAATGGAGAAATGAAGGTGACTGGCACTGAAAGGGAAAGGAGTGTGGTGTTTTGAATGACCATGACTTGTTTGTGCCAATGGAGAGCAGCATGGGTATTCACAGGCCTCACAGAGTAAGGACCCCATGCAACAAGACCAAATGCTATGTTACTAGATAAAGACATGTTTTACCTGTGTACTTGAGTGGCTCGAATTGCCTCGTAGAAACCCACTTAGACAAGATTGTTTCATCAGCTGACAAATTCCCTGAGCTACTAAAGCATCTTCTGCCTGCTTGATAAAAGGTACCATAATAAGGAAGAAAAGAAAAATGAAAAAATAGTTCTCTATGAGAATGAAAGGCAGTGAAGAACTGAAAAATCTGTATTATCCCCAGACTTTGCACTCTAGCCCCGATAAGCACAGGCAAGATGTAAGCAGCAGGACAAAATGGAACAACAGCATCGAAAAGGCACCTGAGTATCAAGAACAAAAAATGTATAAAAAGCAAAACCTTTGCTAGTAATTAAGTCACTGATACATCATTTTCTGAATTATCTGGAAGCAAAAAGAAGGAGAAATATGCCAATTTGCACACTGTGGTCCGTGTAGGGAAGCAGTGGCAAGGGTCTCGAGCATATATGGTAGTGCTCTACCTTCCATGTCAATATCAAGAAGCTGACCGTGTCCTGGGTTTTAAAATCAATTCAGTCCCCGGCCAGCATCAGTAATAAAATGAGTACATAATGCCACCTTCTGGCTATAGTCGAGGACACAATAAAAACGTTGGCAGAAAGAGCATTCTGTCCCTCCTGCACTCGAGTGGATGATATATATCACTTGCTTGGGGAAGTCAAATTTCTTTTGCTGACTTAATCCCAGAGCCAAAAGTAATCAGACATCCTAGCTAACAGGATCAGAAAATGCTATAAATTATGCTGCCTGCAACCTAACAACAGCATTAACAGCGCGAAGAAGTTGGAGGCTCTTTGTGATTAATTGCTGTTTAAGTTGCCTAAAAGACCTATGAAACCTCCTGCTGGCTGACACAATGAACAACATTTTATATTAACCCATATAAGGAAAAGTCTTTAAAAGTGATGGATTATGCAGATGCAAGATGGAAACTGTGTGATGTGGTTACCTAAGAGCTGCAAGCTGCATAACCAGCCCTTCTGCACTCCCAGCCCACAACCACCCTCCCCACCTTCTCAGAGAGGATCTATCTCCACCCTACCCCAGAGAGGATGCTTGCCACCCCAATAGCTGAGTGTCCTCAGGAAAAGCCATACATGCCACACAAACACAATGGAATGGATTGAGTTGGCTCCATGCAGAGCTAGAAAGTTTGTGCTACAAAACCACTGGCAAATTTTGGCTTGTGTGTTTTGGTGGGGTTTGTTTTGTTAGGGGTTGGTTTTGTGGTTTTATTTCTATTTTGTTTCCATTTCTATATGAACCAGCAAGCTCAGTACCTAGGGGAGGGATAGGAAACAGACATTTCACCTACAAAGTATCTGTGGCACCCTTCAGATCAGTGTCTTCCTTTTTTGTGCTTGGAGATGTTGAGAAGTCACCACGGATTCCCTTAGCCCCAGTCAGTTGCCGCTGTGTCAGTAACACATCTTGCACTGGGGAATACAGAGTGAACAGGCTGAACGGAGGGTCATAACAACCCACTCCTGTGAACATCCACTTCTGGAGCTGTAAATACAGCATCCCTCATCAAACCTGTTGTTTCCTATCTTTTACAGGAGCATCTCTACAGAAGAAATTCTGCTGCAGGAGGTATGTTGAGGTTCTCATTTTCTTTAGTAAGGATTTTTAAGAGCAGCTAGCACCAGCCGCACCCTGCTCCCACTGAAATGAGCTGCCTCCCATCCATTGCTCCTACTCTTTGCTCTCCTGAGAAGTCTCAGCACTTATAATATACACTTAAATTTAACTCTCTTGTTTAGAGAGATCCATTTTGGGGGTTAATGGGTTTTCAGAGCATCCTCTACTGTGCTGCATTGCACACCATCATTTTAAACCTATATGAAGTGGGCAACTACCTCTCTTAAGGCCTTCTCAAGGAGTAAAAGTTGAATTTTGCACTCCTTTTGCTCTGGTACTATAAAATATAATGTATGCAAACAGCTGAGAATAAAATCCTGGATTCTAAACAAACTGTTACTGTTGCCAAAACCCAGCGTCAGATGAGATCATAGGTGGACAGATTCTTTAAGGATATCAATAATTTCAAGTGCACACTGATTAATAAAGACAAGCAGTTTTCTCATTGTTCTTTATTGGTGAGCATTTTTAATAAACTGAAAATCTCTAGCAACATAATTTGATGGTAGTCTATCCAAAGAGGAAGAGTGAGAATTTCACAGAGGAGGCAGAAATCACCAGTGGACTTGAACTCTCCAAAATGTTTCAGAAGGAATTCTAGTTAAACTTCACCATCCTGGGATGAAGGAAGCATCTCAGTTTCCTTCCTAACCTCCCAGGCTGATGCACATCTCCCCATCTCCACAGGACATAAGGCATGGCTAGCAATTTCTTCTTGCTCACTGATGTAATTGCCTTTCCATGTAATCAGGGGCTCCTCAAAGACATATTCCCTTACTTGTCAGCTTTCTAGTATGATGTCCTGATGATTATTTACACACTGATGGCAGGCTTGCTGCTTGACCACACTGCTGTGTCCAGGCCAGCTCTGT